GGTAATGGCTCCTCACAACGCGACGTCGGGAACAAATGTAAACGTAACGAACATGAGCGTCACTTCCGCTTCTCGTTCTACGACGCTAGTCGAATCAGCTACCCGATTTCCAGGGCTGTCGCCGCAGGGGCCGCGAGCCATTTCAACTGTTCAACATATCGTCTGTTTTCTGTTCTTGCACTAGACTGTTCTAAAACTCTCTTTCTTTAAACAAATATCAAACGTATAACTATCTCACTTTAAGTTCCAAAAATGTACATTACCCTGGTAGCAAGCTGACGTCAAAATGACGTCGTTTGACGTCAAAACGACGTCAAAATGACGTAGCTTGCTACCTGGGTAGTTCAGTCACAGAAAACAGACCTATGCTTTTTATTTATGCTCGTCCTCATCAATGTAGATTACTTTACTTTAATCTCAATATTCTTTTTTAATTTTTATGCTGAAAAAAAATTTGTAAAATTTTAATAAACATTTCCTTAGATTGTACCAATTGGGTAAAAAAAATTATACTTAAATTTGTTAACAAATTGAATAAATTTTTATTTGATGTAAATAAATGTCCATTGAGCGTTCCATTGGAACTTACAAAGCTTGCGAATATTATTTGTCCTTTTTTAACATTTAATAAATAATTAGAATGAAATGAGTATCAATTATAGTGGACCGCAGCCTCTATATAAGCCGTAAGAAGTTGACCAATTGCAGTCGAATGCGAGGAGAATAATGGATTGTGATTCGTCCATTCCTTATGGCTTTAAGGCTTAAAACATCTATTGTAGATCCGGGCTAAGTTCGGACTACGTTAAAAATTGTTCAATTCTTCTAATAACCTAATTAAATTAATCACTAATTATATAAATTGATAAATAGTTTATCAAATTAAAAACACGTAGCTAGACGGAATTGCTATTTTTTTATTACTATCATACGAAAGAATTGAACAAAGCAAAACAAACAAAAACGGAATATACCAAAAACAAACAGAAAGAAAGTTTAGGGACGAATCATACGCTCATCCAATTAATCGTCGATTAAGCTGATCAGGGTCTAGTGGTCCTCAAAATATATTTCAAATCACGCTATATATGTATATGCAATTAATTTTGAGTAATTTAATTGCCGACGATAAAACAGTATCTTTTTACGTATAATGTGAACAATATATTTCTCAAAGTGTACGGTAGTTTAATTGGCACATAAATTGACAGATAAACGTGCAAGTAAAAAAAAAATATATATATATATATTAGTACTGTGAAAAGCAATCCTTACATCCTTTTTATTCAATTGATTAAATGTTTCCGTAATGGATGGAATGAAAGGAACAGTTATCCATAAATTAGTATTTTCTTGTGATTCATTTGGTTTTTCTGATGAATCCGTTTTAGATTTTTTGAATATGATGTTTTTTATTCTTTTATTAATATTATCAAAAATGAATTTCACACACACACACACACACACACACAGAGGGTAATCGTTGTTTAATAATAAACGTGCTCATGCCTGGGGAGAAGTATTCTTCTTTTGATTATGCATGTAATCGTTCAGTTTTAATGTTCATAATAATTAAAAAAAAATTTTTTTTATCTGAAGATGGCCTAATCAAAAGGCTGAAACATATAATAATTTTTGTATCTTGACTCATATAATTTGTACGTTCTCGGATAATTTCGTTTTAAATTTTATTGTTAAAAATACATTTTATGTCTTAACGCGCAGAAAATTGAATAATGTTTAATTGACTCTTATACGTCCTTTTCACTCGTATCTTTACTTACTGATAAGAGAACAGTCCTTTACTAATTTATATTTGTTTTTACTCTTCATCTGTTTTTGATTTTCTTAAAACTAGAAAAAGATGAAGTTAATTAAACCGAGTTAAGGTTAAACTACATTGGTAGAAACGGATCTAAAAAATTCAACTGAAAAGAACAAGCCTACGACGTGACTGTTTTCACTTCGATAATTTCTATTGACGTCAGGTTTCGATTTATATCTCGCGCGAAAATATAGCTCGTCCAGGAACCTGCGTTTCCCCCCTCGACACACGGCCCTGTGAGGAAAACCATTTATTCGCGGTATGTGCGATATATATATATTTCGTGCGATATTCATATTGCGTTCGTCAATCTTGTTCGCAACATTTCACTTGCTGGAAAAGGAATGTCCGCATACTCGAGCACAAAAATGTTAAAACGTCGCCTGAACACGTCGGTCATACCGAGTTCAACGATCTGGCGGCGTACGGTCCGTTCCTCGTGCCGCGCAAATAGCCTCCTCACTCCTTCTGCACTCGGTGAGTGCGGAACGGATCGCGCGGAACCGGCAGAATGACGTCGAATCGAATGGTGAGAGTGGAAGGGCGAGAGGTGCAGAATTCAGCAGAAAGGGAACAACACTTGTAAACGTGTTGAAACGTGCCGCGTCACACAGTCGTCAGGAAAATTTTTCTCAGTATTTTTATACATATTTATTTAGGACACTTTTCAATGATATTGAGAAATTCTACATATTTTCTTACAAGAAAACTCATAGAAGTGGTCCCCTCCGATTTTGATGAGATTTGAATATTTTGTTTTCTAGACAAAAATAAGATAATACATATTTTTTTATAAAGGCTAAATCACACTTTTAGGGAGTGCAATACCCTCTTTGAAAAAAAATCGTTTTTTTTTACATGAATATTCGTTTTGAAACGAATATTATTTGAAACTGTAAGAGATAAAACTAACTAATATTCTAAATAAAAGTTCAATGATTTAAAAAATACTTTATAATAATAATTTTAAAAAATTTGTTTAAAAATTTTTTAAAGTAAAAATAAAACAATTTTTTAATTAAAATTTTGAAGTACTCTTATAAAATCATTCTATTTCAAATATTTTTTTATCTCTCTTATATCAGTTTCATTAATATTTACTTCTAAAAAAATAATTAATTTCTTTCAAAAGTGTTGTACCCTGTTTTGAAAAATTCTGAAATTAACATAAAAAAAAATTCTAAAAATTATATGGAATATTCTCAAAAAAATTTTATCAGAGAAAAATTTTCCAACCAGAATGCGTTTTTTTTTTTACAGAAACATGATGACAGTAAAAATACACGCATTTCTGTCTTTATAGATCTTTGAAGAACTTGTAACCACACTGACTTTTCACTTTTCAGTATCTCATGAAATAACGCTTTAGGCCTGTTCTTTTTAGCTGAACTTTTGCACCAATTCATCTATCTTCCTCTTCTTTCCTGCTGGAGAGGAAAGGAAGAAAGATGAACTGGTGCAAAAGTTCAGCCAAAAAGAACAGGCCTTTTTATGAATGCTTTATGAACTCGTATAAATCCGCGACTGTGTTTTGCTGTGACGTCTGCCATAGTGCCATCTGTGCCATCGCGAGAAACTGCGAAAGCAGAGAAACTGTAGTGTCATACTGTCATTCAGTTTCAGGTACATTTGAGATATTTTGGCGAATCGAGCGCGATGATGAATCTGTTGATTGAAAATGGGAAAGGAAATTTACCCGATTATGAGGTACAGGGAGTGAGAAAAGTAAACTTCAATCCATATTCCGACAATGGAGGGTAAGTGAAAAATAACCTATATCTCTTTACTAATTTTAAGTGTCTTAATTGTAAGAGTATACATTTCTACGGTTGATCGGTATTCTTGGTTTTTATTTTATAATACCTCTTTATAGTTCTATGTTCTTTATATATTTATGAAGTATTTTACATCTACATGATTATATGAAAACACTGTTTCATTCTCAGGAGTGTTGTGGCTCTCGCTGGAGACGATTTCTGCGTCATAGCCGCAGATACGCGTCTCAGCACTGGATTCACGATTCACACTCGAAATCAAGATAAATTATTTCCATTGTCAGACACAACTATCTTAGGATGCTCCGGTTGTTGGTGCGATACCACAACTCTAACTCGTCTCCTATCCGCTCGCATGCAGGTATTAAACCTTGTACTTGGAATTAAAATTAGGATTAGAATATAGTAAAACAATTATATGATAACATTCGATACATACTAAATTGTTAAACATGAGTATAATAGTTATTATTCTGCTTTAGATGTATAAACATGAACATCAAAAGGAAATGTCAACTCCAGCAGCAGCACAAATGTTGTCGATAATGCTATATCACAAGAGATTCTTTCCTTATTATGTTAGTAATATACTTGCTGGATTAGATGAGAATGGAAAAGGCTGTATATATAGCTATGATCCAATTGGACATTGTGAGAAAACTACATACAGGGCCGGTGGTTCAGCTGGTGCACTTCTGCAACCACTTCTTGATAATCAAGTATATATTTTAATCTCTTATGTTTATGTATACATATATACATACGAATATGTAAATCGACTTTATATATTTATATAAGAAACGTTTAAAAAATATATATAATTAATATTACATCTTGTACTTGTAATTTTTCTATCTTTAAGATTGGTTACAAAAATCAAGAAGGTATTACTCCTGTACCTTTAACTCAAGAAAAGGCTATAGCAATCTTGAAAGACGTTTTTACTTCTGCTGCCGAAAGAGATATATACACAGGTGATGGAATAACTATCAAAATTATTACCAAGGATGGAATAGAAATCTCCAGTTTCGCTCTGAGAAAGGACTAATGGGGAAAGAAAGCATTTATACTATATCTGCGCAAATAAAGTTATTTGAATATATCAACACTGTTATTAAATTCTTTCTCTTTTAAACACTTTTTAAAAGAGATAGTACATTATGGAATAATTATTTTGTAATTGATCTTAAATGCATAAATTTAAATTGCACGGATTGAATAATACAAAAGATACACATGAAAAAGAGTCTGAAATATACAAATACACATAAGCAGTATTTAAATAGGCCTTTTTTAATGTTTATACACTATATTTGCTACTTAATATACGTGTAAACATTTTATCCACAATACATATTTTATAAATTCTTAATAAAACTTCGTGATATTCAATGAGAATATGTGGTACGTTATCATAAATTAAAAATTTTATTTTTTCATTCAAACACATGATTCATTTTTATTTCATGATTAGCATTAGTAATATACACTTAAAAATCTATAACAAACGATTACGCGCGCAAAGGTAACTCAATAAGCCTTTTTTTAACGTTATGCTATGTTACTGTATGCACCGTATGTAACCGTATGTCACTCGTACGTATTCGTGATATCTTAAAATATCTTTCTTTTATTTCGTAAAAGACAAGTTAATTATAACCCATTTTTTATCGTTCACAATATCTGTATAACCAAAGAAAAAGAGGATAGGGGTTTGTGTTTCTTTTTTTTTGTTGCATTTCATTCTACCGTCTTTCTCATACTTCTTCCTTTCTGGGAACAGTATATAAGGATCGAAAGATAGATGTTGCTTCCCCCCGAGATTCACTTCTTCGTCCCGGGGGCCGCTAAGGGTTTGCCACGATCTTTACCGCGCAATTTAATTCCAAGTACTCGCTCGATCTTGCCGATTACCATCTGATTCGGTATTCCACGTCCGGCTTCGTAGTCATTAATGACCTGTGCCTTTTCGTTTACTTTCTGTAAAGAGCATTAAAAATTATTAATAAAAAAATATTCATGACTTGAAACCTGAGACGTAATTGAAAACACATGGGAATAATAGATTTCAATCTATCAAAAACCTTTTATTCTAGTGCACGGTTTCTGATAGATTAAAATTTGTTATTCCCCCCCTGTTCCTATTTATCTATACTTTTCAGTTATGTTTCGGACTTTATTCTCTTCCAATGATGGCTCAATTCGCTCAAAGGAAAAGCAGTTCTACAATTGTAATCTTCTTGAATATGATTGATTTATACATTTGGATCCAATAAAAAACCAAAGGTAGGACCATATTGACCCGATGATGCATAGTCGATTTTTTAATTATACTAAGAGAATGGACAGATAATGAAATTCGGTATCCGATTCTAAAAAAAATTTGGCAATGTTGAGAGATTATGTGTAAGCAATGATGCCCATGTGCAATTGTTTGTTTCCACCCAAGAGCGTATAGAAACCGTGTCTGTGCACTCAACTACCTACATTGCAGACTGTGTAAGCATTTTCAGCAAATTAAAAAAGATTTTTTGTTTTTCATGTTTTTGACGCTAATTTCACAAATAAACATATGTACAAATATTTTATTCTAAAACCTGTAGCATATAATATTTATTTTTTGCATCATATTGCCATAAAGACGATCCATCAAAGAATTTTATGTTCAAAATGTATATTTTTATAAAGACTGTACTACATTTTTATTTTTTATATCTTTGCATTTTTTAAATTAAAAATAAACACAATTTTGTAATTATTTTGCTATAAAAGTTATTTCACTATTTTTTTCTCAAACTTCAATTTTTCAATTCATAAAAAATTTTTTTCCAGATACTCAAATAATTCAATAATTTTTTAAAGGCAACATTACATTCTCTGTCTCTCTCTCTCTCCCCCCTCTCTCTATTTTTTTCCCAAAGTACATATTAAAACCTAAAAGCATTTTTTTATTCCATTCACAAAAGTTATGAATTTTTAACTGATATCACGTGTTTTTTTAAAACTTTTACATTTAAATCTGTAAAAAATAAGTAAAATACAATTGAACTTTTATTATGATAGAACTTATTAAAGGATTTAGAAATATGTGAGTGTTTTTAAATGTTTATATAGTCCGGAACAATGAACAAATTTAATGTGGTCCTCAACAATTCATTCTCAAAACTAAGATTGAAAATTTTATAGGGGAGGATTAAAGAATTTTACAACTATGATATAACAGTTAGAAAACTGTTTTTTTCTGGTGAATGCAGCCAATAAATAGTTTAATGTAAAACAAGATAAAAACTTTACCGTTGCCAGGTCTTTTTGTGATAATCCTTTGTTCTGTCGCCCTTGCTGAATAAGTTTGCCGAGCTCAAGTGGAATTTGGTCATGTTTCAATTCTTCTGTTTCACGATCTAATTTGGCTGTGTTCTTTGTGGTTACGTGCTGTCTGTTTGCACCACCACCCCCTAATCAGAAATATTTTTCTATTTCAGAATTACATTTGATAAAATATTATCAGAAAGAAATTATAGAATAGCACACATCTGTGGTAAAACACAATAAAACACTTTTAGGATATCGTTATTTTATGTGTAGAAACCAAGAAAAGCATTTCAAATCTTATTACATGAAAAATTTTTATTGTCTCTATTATTTATGTAGTTTATTGATAGAATACTGTGTTATATTTCTTGAAACAGATAACCTGTATACTCACATATGTGTTTATTCTATACCAGACCTGTCCAATTTGATCTCTGGAACCAAAACACAAAGCTATCGATGCAAAAAAATTCAATGTGGGTAAAATTTCGGGGACTATCAAGTGTTGATATGCATCTAAGTAACGCTTATCAACGCTTTATAGTTCCTAAAATCTTACATTGAATTTTTTTTTTTTACGTCAATTGCTTTGTGTTTTGGCTCCGGAGCTCAAATTGGACAAGCCTGTTCTACACTGACACAACGTTTTCAAATTGCCTTCAGCTTTTCATCTACGACATAATATGATAAAACAATACATGTACTTTTTCTACTGTAACTGTGCTAGTGATTATACATAGATATTCTCGAGGAAATATGATAATTATTTGCAGTTATTTCATGGGATTCAGTTTTATAAAATCATACTTATGTGTGTGTTTATTCTGTACATTAACACAACGAATTACTTTATTTTCAAACTGCCTTGAACTTTTCATCTATGACACAATATGATACAACAATAACACAGATTACATGTACATTTTTTACTGCAACTGTATTGATGATTGTATATAAAGCCGTCATACTCCTGAGAAAATATTTTCATTTTCGTAATCTGCAGTTGAGTTCTATGAAACCATATACTTACACATGTGCAGTTTATTCTATACATTAACACAACAAATTACTTTGTTTTCAAATTGCCTGGAGCTATGACACAATATGATACAATACTAATGCAGATTACATGTCCTTTTTTTACTGTGTTGGACTTTCTACAATAATTATCTAAACTTTTAAGTCTGAAGTTGTAAAAAATTGTTCAATCATAGTCGATTATTCTTTTCACATTCGACTGTGACTGAGATCAATTTCTTACGGTTTAAAACTTAAAATTTAGGTAATAGTTTATTGTAGAAAGCCTATGCTCCCAGATAGCAAAATCGCACAAATCTGTGATTGCTTATGATGCTGGCAACTTACCATAGATTTATCTTCAATGATTTCAAATATACCGACATTGTAGCAACATGCAGGCAACAATATGTATTACCAGCAGTTTAACAGCAAGATAGCTGCATCAATGTTATCTTGTGTTGTCGGCAATGACAGCATTGTATGATGGCAGTAGTACAAATTTTGATGATGACGATTTTAAAGTTGTTACCAAACTGCTATAACAAGCTACTCAAAGTTATCATAACGTGAAGGCATCAAGTTGCCAACAAATGAGGACTCAGTTGCTGCAATTCTGGTAGCGACACATGCTTAGCAATGTATACTTAGCAAGCAACATGCCAGCAAGCAACAAAACAGACACGTTGCTATCTGGGCTGGTATTGTATATAGACATTCTCAAGAAAACATGGTAATCATCATTTTTGCAATTTGCAGTTTGGTTTTACGGGTCCATGATGTAACTCGATTATGTTCGTAGATATAAGAGAGTACACTTAATTGTCCGCTTGAAACGGCGAACACGTTGTCTACGACGAGAGAGATCTCGAAGAAAAAACGTAAAAGAAATCCCAGGTAGGTAGACTCGTGCTACTCACATTTCGCTTGTGTCTCCACGGTGAAACCTTGTCGCCGTGCGTCGTTCACCGCCTGTAAACAAATACAATCGGTTATACAATCGTGCGGCGCAGATACGCGTAGACGAGATGGGTTACCTTCTCCGTTTTCAACGTAGATGACTTCGGGGCACGTTTGCGTAAAGTAATAGGCGCGGTGTCCCAATCTGACATGCTGTTAAAAAAAATCCCACGGAGAACCCAAGGGGTTGTTCCGGTTGAGGAAGGAAATTTGCTTGGACGTATGGACGTATAGATGTATAGCCACGACGACGATAGCAACTGCTCTACAACTCTACACCGCTTGCTCTACACTCTACTCCCGCCACTGTTTGCGTTTCCAGTCGAGCAAGGTCTTCTCTCCGCCTCGCGGACGTTCTGAAAATCATGCGGTGCGGCCGCTCGATCGACCGGCGCGAAGCCGCGATTTCATAAACATCGGGGGTCGGCGCCTACGAAATATCGAGAACCCAGGATTGGGAAGTACTAAGTTCAAAAGTTAAAAGTTCAGTTATAAAGTTAAAAAGTTAATTAATTTTAACTTAACTTAGTTATATTTTACTCTTAAGTTTTTAATTTAATTTAGTTACATTGCATTTTATCGGTAACTTTTCTAACAGCACAGACCTTTAGGGGATGTCCTCAGGACATCCAGAGATCGTCTGTATGTCCTTTGAACAGCCTAAGGATATTCTCTAGGATATGTCCCGGATAAAATGTGCTATTAGAGTTTCAATTTGAGTTTTTTGAAGTTAACCCTCAAACACAATATACAAGGCGATAATGGTACATAATTTAGTAATTTTATGTGTCTTTTATATTGTATAATCCTTAGTCGTAAACAAAAATAAAGTGATTCAAATCCTTAATGAATATGCTGTAAGAAAGGAAAAATGATGTAAAACAAATTTTTTTTTGGTTTGTTCAGAACAAATTTAACTTTTAACTTTCAATTACTTTTTTTTTATTAACTCAATTAACTTCTAATTCAATTAATTTCATTATGAATTAACTTGTATCTTAATTAAGTTAAATTTTCAAGGCTCTCAATTTTAGCTTAACTTATTAGTTTTAAAAAATGGTTAACTTATACCCAACCCTGCGAGAACCGCAACGTCCTCGCTGAATCCTACTGAATCCTCGTGCTCGCTATTTTTTTCGACACGATGCCGGCCGGCGGAGAAATTGCGATGCGTTTGTGGAGTCTCTCGAACGGCTCGAACGCGAACGTCATTCCGCGACCGCGAATTTCAAGATCCAAAACGATCGAGATTCGTGCCAGGATCATCAGACTTTCGGCCGTCCAATTTTCGATGCTACACGTGCACAGAAAATTTTTTACAATCTGTGCCAATTATCACAGTAACTACATATAGGATGTGCCGCTTTTTTTTTCGTGATTTTAATGCATGGTGAATTCGGTCACTTCAAGTGCACATTAAAGGCTGCTTTATATAAATAAGTAAATGCAGTGGCATAATTTCATCAACTTTGACAATGAAATAATTTATGTATACATTTCTTTTGACTATGGTGACAATTATCTCATTATTATATTTAATTAAAATATTTATATGCTTTTTACATTTAATTAACTTTGTTAATTTCATGTATATAGTTTTTTTCATATAATGATTTTTTTATATTCGTATAATAATCATACAATATAAAAAAAATTATTTAATAAAAATTAATAGGGGATCCAAAAACGGCCTTTACACGTAAAAATGCGTATATGTGATATTGATATAATATTAAATATAATAAGGACGTATAATGTGTGGATATATGTGTAAGAAATCGCACATTTAGTCGGTAAAACAGATGACGCCATGGAGTTTTCATCAGGCTAACATCCCTTTAAAAAAAGGGGTTAATCTTTCTTTTTTTCAATTAGCATCTCATCGGAAAAAAAGAGAGATATACATGTTCGCGTTTCGAGAAAATTCACGAGTGGATTCATACAGCAATTTTACTTCTGCTTTTTTTCGTTATTTCTCTCTCTTTTTCTCTTACTCCTACTCGCCGATCAGCGATCTATCGCGCGCGTTCGATCGGCGAGTCCAGTTCTACCTGTTCCCCTCCCCTTTTTGTTGTTAGTTCTGGCACTTCAGGCATTACTGCCGAGAAGTCCAAGTGAGTCCGAGAACCCTCTATCCGCATCGTGACGTCCGCACTGTTCCCATCAGCATATTTATATACGGTTGTCCAGCTGACCGCGCGAAGACGAGATGTCGTTGATCAGGATGTTGTGGAGGTGCACGTTTAGTCCGCGGCTTTTCAGGATTTACGAGGTAACGTGGATCGGTCTGGTTGACGTAAGTACGACATACTTATTCAGCGTTTTATGCAGGAATTTGCATAAAGTTGAGGTTATAATACGTATGCATGTATGCATTACAGAAACCGTACGAGGCGAAGAACCTGGAGCGATGGGGCGATAACATTGCGATCTCTGCAAGTATTCAGCATAATAAAACGGAAATTGTGACATTTTCGAAAGTTTACCACAGTCTTACCACTTTGCTCTGCCAGTCTGTGTGAATAAAGTCTTTCAAATACCGGCAAACGCGATCTTTTGTTTATATTTTACTAATTTGTTTACACCTTCTGTATTATTGCAACTATAAGGATGTAGGAATTCACAAATTGTTTCTGTGCTGTTGCAGTTTGCGACGATATGGTCCATAAGCCTTTACGCTGTACCAGTCATTGCCATGTTCGCCATGTATCAGCGTGGCTATTCCTTGACAGATAATGTTTCTTGCTTGAGTAAATTGGCTGCTGGTGCCGGTGCATTTCTCGTTGCCTCGTTGGCCGCACGCGGTTACTCGAGAGTCAACAATCCAGTGTATGTGAAGTTTATGGAGACCTTGAATGAGGCACACTTGCATTACAATGCAAGCACAAAGCAGGAACTTCAGAAATACGATTTCGAATTCTGGGCATGGCCTGTGGATTTTGATGTGTCTGAATTAAGAAGGTTGGACCTATTTCTGTCAACAATTAATATACATGTTTAAGAATCTTTAACTTTTATTTTAGTGACAAATTCTTTAATAAATTCTGAATACTTAACATTTGTTTATAACAAAAGTTTTTTGAATTGTAACCTTTTACAACTTTATAATAGCTGACAATCAAATATTTTTGATCACATCTCGAACTAATATTTTGGAAAATTGATTTATAGTTTAACATTTTTTATACAATTTTATCTGAAAACTTAGACAATAGGACTTGCATATTTCAATTAAAGAAATAAATATTTTTTAGTTAGAAATTAAGATTAGAAATTTTTAAGTGTATGTAATTAATGTTACAACTTACCATTCTCTAATTTTATGTTTCTTGTAGTGACACTGCAGATAAATTGACACTAGAAAAAATTGCAAAGGCTAGTGGACGTCTCAGGAGACAAAGTGGCAAAGAATTTTTATTTGCTATACCATGTAAATTACTTTCTTATGTGGTAGCACACACCTTTGCGGGTAAACTGATTTATCCTGGCAGTATATCTTTCATCGGCTGGGCACTCGGTAACACATTGCTACAATTATATACATAATTATAGTTGATTAGAATTAATTTAATATATAAGAAAATTATTGTATTTACTCATGTTTTTATACCATTATTTTGTATCACAATGTCACAGGCTCTACATTGGTAAAGGGAAGGATAGATTTATTAAAACAAGGAGGAGAAAGATTCAAATTAATGACTGTTGATAAAAATCAAATTGATGCATTATTCGTTGATCGACGTAACAAGTAATGTAAACAATAACTTTATCGGTATTTTCTGTTACATCATAAACTGTTTTTTAATTTACACTATATTGCAGAAGCGCTAGTGGCAATATATTGGTTATAACCTGCGAAGGAAACTGTGGTTTTTATGAAACAGGTATTATATCCACTCCTCTGACTAAGGGTTATTCCGTGCTAGGTTGGAACCATCCGGGTTTCGGTAGCAGTACTGTAAGTATTACGCTTGCAAAGACACAAGCTTCATGTACATTTCACAATTCGACGAGAAGAATTGCTGTTACTCTGCTATAAAACTTCTTTGCAACAATAAAATTTTGCCAATGTTGCAGTTATTGTCATTCAGACAGTAAATGCAAAGTTGGAGTAATGGCAAGCTTTCTTCTTTGAGAGCCTTGTATTTCATATAACAGTAAGTCATGACCACAAAGGGTGCACCGTATCCAGACCAAGAAGAAAACACCATCGATTGTATAATGCGCTTTGCGATCGAACGTCTAAATTTTCCTGAGGAACGGATTATTCTGTATGGCTGGAGCATCGGAGGCTATACTGCCACTTGGGCCGCTATGAACTATCCTTCTATTCATAGTTTGGTAATATTATTCAATTCAAACTAATTACATATATACGCTAAATCGATTCTGCATATTGCTAAAATTAAATCGTCACCGCAGATTTTAGATGCTACTTTCGATGATGTACTTCCATTAGCTATTAAAACAATGTCACCGTCCCTAGAAGGATTAGTCCGTAACATAATCAGAGATTACTTCAATTTAAACATAGCAGAACAATTGAATAGGTACAATATTCTATGACACATTATTACAATGAAATTACTGACAATGTATGTATATTTCTATACATAGTCATCTTTTAATTTAATAGGTATAATGGGACTGTATTGTTAGTGAGAAGAACAGACGACGAGATCCTTTGTATACCTAATAATAGTTTAGCTGGAAATCGCGGTAACATGTTGTTAATGAAATTACTTCTTAGACGTTATCCGCATCTATTTTCCGAAACCTCTGAGTCTGGGACAGTTCTGTCGAGGTTCTTATCTGCTGAAGCAGCCGATAGAAGTAAGGAATTTGAATATTAATAGCATTACTAAGAGGAATTATATTTTTTAAAATATATATTTTACCAAATTGTGTGATATCTATGACAGCATCGATATTGGAATCGTTCCAAGTGGAGGAAAATCGTTGCCTAGAATTGATAGCGGCTAATATACGAAGTAATGATGGGGCGATAAATTATCCGTCTACTCTAGGACAGGATTGTCATGTTAGGACAAAATTACAGCTGGTTCTCTTCCTTGTACGTATTACATACACTGGTTTGTAGATTTAAAGTCAAACAAAATAAAATTAATCTATTTTATTCCTCTATTTTATAGGCAACGATGTATATGAAAGATCAATCGTCGTCGCACTGCATTCCGCTGTCTGTTGATCTCTTTCATCCAGGTTGGGATCCAGCTTCCGCTGTTATTGCAAAGTAGCTTTTACAGTACTATATTTTGAATATTGGGACACAAACTTCCAAACAGATTTTTATTTATATAGTGCATCATGAAAAGGTGAAAGCGATAATAACAGTGCAATTTCGTGTTTAAGTTTAATTAGCACACACATACACTCAAACATTATTTATTCCATATTAATCTATAATCAATCTTACAAATTTTTGTGAAAAATGTCACACACTAGATATCATTTTATAAATTCATGGTTAACGTTTTTTTAGTTGAATTGCAATGATTATTAGCGTTTTTTTAATTGATTATATGCGTCGCATATCACCGGTACTGCTTTGTATAAAATTTATTTGTATATTACAATATATATATATATATTAAAATTTCAAAACTGATTCTTAATATATGGACATTATTTTAAGAAATAGCTTTTATAATAGCATGTAATCTATTTTACTGTTAGGTAATTTAAAAAAGATAAAAGCATCTTGCATTATAATATAAAACTTTGAAGTGAGAATATATATTTATGCATATATACATATATGTATATATACACATACATATACATTGTAAGATAATAAATATATTTTTCATTTCAATATTACCATTTAATCGTTACATAATTATTTATTTTTAATAAAAAAAGAAGTAGAACATTTTATTATGAGACAAAGATAACATTGCAAAAAAAGGTTGGTATTGAAAAAGTTTAATATTAAAAGTACAAAATTTTGATGTAAAATTATCAAAATTATTTTAAAGATTATTCATATATAGATCATGCAAAATTCATATATATCAAATTAATAATAATTTTAATTTTACATGAAATTTTTATTTTCTATGTAATGTATAAAAATAAATAACTATATCATACCATAATTTTACGTAACTTGAACACTATCTAAAACAGCTTTAAGAGCAGTTTTAGAATCTTGAAGTGGATCAATTACATTTGCGCGACTAGTCTTCATTGGTTTCTCTAGAAATACCTTCAACATATTCCTTGTTTGCGTTAAGAAATAATCTCTCTGAGCAATTTTTTCCAAAGCCTTAAAACATCCTTCCAAATTCCAATCGATTGTCCCACTGGTTTTATCCTCACTCTAAGAAACAAATGATTGTTAATCACTTTTTCGCTTTGATGTACCTTCTATGTTTAAATAATTCTTAATTTTTCTTACTTTTATTAAACCAAGATTAATTAGTAATGCATTATTGAAATTTGAGATTTGATTAGTCTCTACAGCATAAGAAAATAGTTTTGCGTATAAAGCATCTGACAAGGATTCTGCTTTTATTCTCACATTCATGTAGCCACTGTCACATAATGCCGATACTTTCATAGTTATCTGTAATAGTTCCTCTATATATTTCTGTTCTACTGTATTGCTTTGATTTGCCAAGTTCTGAAATAAGATGTATACCTCATTATAAAAAGGAAATAAGTACTTGTACACATTAATACGTACCGTTGCATAGTCGATAAAAGCTTGAGCATTATCGCTTTGTAGTAGCAGCAATTTCTCACCTATTGGTGATTTTACGAATTCTGCTACTGTCACCACTGTACTTTGTGCAATATTATTTTGCTCCTCATTATCTTTGTCACTTGCTTCATCCTCATTATTATCATTTTCGTCTTCTTCGCTCTGTTCATCCTCATTATCGTCTTCCTCCTCCTCATCCTCAGTATAATCCTCATCCAAAGAATTCAATGCATCAATTTTTCTCAATTTTGTAAGAATTTGTCGAAGTTTTTCGCGTCCTTCCGTTCCAAAGCAATTACCGTCCAACTGTAGATTTGTTAGAAGAGTTTTATCGTGCATGGCTTTAGCAATAGCATTTCCAGCATCCATGCGTAGTTCATTATTACCCAAGTCCAGATTTCTAAGGGATGTATGATTGCCGTGGATCTGTAACGCTTCTGCTATAACTAAAGCCCCTTTAGTCTTTAATAAACAATCTCCGAGGTTTAATTCCTCCAGACCCCGGAATGTCGGTAAAGCTTTAGCAAGCGCCTTGGCCCCTTTCAATCCGATCGTATTATCGTTCAAATTTAATACTCGCAAATTAGGATTGACAGATAAACCTTTTGCAATCGCCGCGATACCCACGTGGTATATACCGTTCTGTTGCATTACAACTTCCTCCAATGTTTTCAGTCTTTCAAATACAGATGCTAATGCTTGCGCGCCCTCATTCTCTAACCGATTTCTGCCAACGATGAAAACTTTCAGTGCAAGCGGTGTACCTATAATAAAATTTCATTCCATTAAGCATTTAAGAGTATATTAAAATAATATAATGTACATGATATCTCACCTTCTTTAGAACTATTTTCATAACACTTCTCCAATGCTTTAGCTAACATTTTTCCACCTGATATACCAAGACCGTTGTTATTTAATTTCAACTGCTGAAGTGTATAACATGGACTTGATGCCAGCAGATTTGCTAACCCTTCAATACCGATTGGACCAAAAGCATTGTCGCTCAAGTCAAGTTCAGTAAGTTGACTACCAGCAGTGCACAGTGCCGTTCCTAGATACTCCAACGCTTTTGGGATTTCTGTTTTCAAACGACCAGTGAACATGTCCTTCCATAAAGCTCTCTTCAATGGAGTTCCCTTCTCTTTCAATGCCTCCGCTATAACTTCTGCGGCTGGTGTACCCAATGTGTTTCCTTCCAAATCCAAATACTCCAAGCATGGACATACTTTAATCGCTTCCACTACTCGGAGAGCTGTATAATAATAAGATTTATTCCTTTTAGCTAAACTTCTTATACATTTCAGCTTTGCTCGTTTTCTTTTCATGTTGAAGAGAAAGAGAAAAGATGAACTGTGCAAGAAGTTCAACTAAAAAGACAGACCTTGTAAGAAACATAAATAAATTCATTGATAAATAAATTCTCTGGCAGTAAAGAAATATAAAAATAATACTAAGTATTTAATTTATACATATTTGTAGACACACATACAATTAAAATACAAATTTATGTAGCGAATAAGATTTCGTAAAACAATAAACTGTGTCTCGAAATCAAGGAAAATTGCTCGCATAATTATTTATAGTTTCGTGTGCTTTATGCACATAATGAGAAGATACAGCGAAAAGATTCTAATTACCATCATCCGCGGTGTCCAACACGAGCGACTGACCGGCAAATGAGACTCCCACTGATTGTCGGCTCACATCCTTCAACTGCTCGCTAATCTCGCCTAGACTAAACATGTTGGACGTTTGCAAATATCACGGAAATTTTGTCAAATAATCTTGATTGGCGATCCCTCGATATAAACTGTGATAAGCACTGATAGACCGTCCCTTTGTTGATATCGTTTTATCACTTCTTCTGTAGTGCGTTGTTTTGCCAGGTGGTAAAAATGCGACGGAACTGCATGCGCGGGAAACCAATGCCAACCTTCGAGTCGAGTCAGTCGAGCACAAGAAAGAAAATCTCTATAGTTACGAACGTACAATCTGTTCGTTCGCTTGCACTTTTTGCACTCAGTATCTTCGCTTTCTTTCTCTTCAACGCTAAAATATATATATTTGTCTCATTTTAATGCAATTTCAGTGCAAAAAATTTTTGGGGATTTTGAATAACGCGAAGAGACTTAATGTTAAACAGTTATATATTTTTTTGAATATTTAAACTATTCAAATGGCTATCATCATCAATTATACTTCAAAACTCTTCATACAAAATATAAACGATTTCTAAAAATTTCGTTTAATTTGTTTATTTATGTCAATTAACTGTGTAAAAATTATTTCATTAAAATTATCTGGATAATTCAAATCTTTTTATAATTACATTTTAAAATTCTTTGTATAAAGTACAAATAACTTTATAATTGTTTACAAACTTATCAGCTATAAATTCATACAATTCGTGATTGCAAGGTGGATCCAAATTAACTTAATCAGTAATTAAATTATCAAGTGATATTTTGTAAATGTAAACAGAACGATTAATTTTGTCTAAAAAAGATTTTGTTTAACAAAAAAATTAGACGACAAATTATGTAAAAATTTTTATTTTAAGTTGTTGGTTAAACTATAATCGCTGATTAAATTGATTAAAATTTTACTAAAAAAATCGCCCATAATGTATTTTATAGATAAAAATTCCTTTCACGTAGCAGATCGAGAAATATTATGTTTGGAAAAATCAAATAATATCGTGGAAAAATTGTAAAAGATGTATAGTCATGGATAGTAAATAGGGAAATTTTTTTTCAGTAAGTTTCGGAATGCAATATTGTAAAAAGTGAGTTATTGCTCATTTACGTAGGTCTGTAGGTAGATAATGATTTGCAACGTTGGTGCATGCCGAAATAAGAAATGTTAGACCCGTGAATGTATGTATAAATAATAAAGTAACATTATATATCAATATAAAATTAATTTCAAATCGTTTTCTCTCTACAAAGACTATTAAAATCAGATTATTAAATTAATAAAATAATACATATTGATCATTGACTAGAAATAAGATGCATAAATCAGTATTAATATTAGGATAAAAGCTTCAAGTTTATTGGAATGAAACATATAACGCAATAAAACATTATTTGTTATAACTAATTTCACATTTTCACATAAAGATCTTTTTTCTCGTAAATTTATTTACAAGATAAAATATTTTATCCAAAAAAAAAAAAAGAAACAGTTACAGCTGCTGTAACAATTGCGAAATAATTACATAATTCATTGTTCATTGAACATTCGAGACAGAATCATTTGATTTTTTTTTCTTTAAAAAATCCATATATTTATTGTTAATATGTGTGGAATATCAATAATAAACAATAAACATAGGATATGCAAATCCAGTTTTTCTCAGGTGCTAATAAAGATGCTTTATTACACTGAATGCTGCTTTTCCATAAACTGGCCACTGTATCTGTGTATATGTATGTATGTATGTATGTATGTATGTGTGTGTGTGTGCTTATGATTTTAATTATATTAATATATCATAAATATTTTTTCTTTATTAATTTGATTCTTTCAGAATATAGGGGATGTATCTAGAAATATTTTTTAGCTTTTTCTATCTCTTTAGTAAAAAGTTTACATCTGTAGCATATTCTCGCTATCCAGTCCATTTAAAAATGACACACTGCAACATATTCTAAATTTGTGAAAGAACATAGAATACGAAGCACAAAACATCAAATCATATTTGAACCCATAGCAAAAAGAATGACGAGCTATTAT